GATTTTAATAAACTCATTGTGAGATATTCATCTATATTCTTTTTCCTTTTGCCATTTTTTCTTATTTATCCATTTTTGCCATTTTTACCGTTGCCATTTTTACCGTTGCCATTTTTACCGTTGCCATTTTTACCTATTTATCCACTTTTGCCATTTTTACCGTTGCCATTTTTACCCTGACATTTTTTTCCGTTGCCATTTTTACCTAAATTCGCCCTGAACATATGCATATATATTCACATTTTATATATGTATATGTACATACATATATAAGGGTCTGTTTCGACGTATATATATATATATATATATATATATATATATATATATATATATATATTTGAATAAAAACAGACCACTTTAAAGTTCCATGTAATAAGTTATTTCACCACAACCCTTTTAAAGGGCTCTGGATTTCAGACTTTACTTCCAAAAGTTGAAATGAAAAATGAAAAAGAAACACATTTTTGACGGACCGCACCAAGCATATGTAAAATTAACGAAGTGAGGAAGTGAGGTGGGAGAGAAGATATGAGTGAGTTAGATGTACCATTTCAATTCCTTATCCTTAAACCCCATTCTGTAGGCTAGACGCCGCTTAAATTAACGTATGTTATCTCTAGATATAGATGGGTAAGGGGTGAGGGAGAAGACCGACTTACAAGGGGCAAGGTCCAGCAAGCAATAAAATAATAAATCATGTCCGTGAGCGCAGGTTTCACTCAAATTCTTAGACGCTTTTACTTTAAAGTGTATATTTGGGGGTTAAATTTTGATATAAATCTAAATGTCTAAAAAATCTACGAAGAATTTAATTTGAAGTTTGTTGGAGTTTTGGGTATTTTCTTGAAATAGTCGATTGGAAAAATTCATAGAAAGTACATTGAAAGAATAATCCATTTTATATCTAGTAATCTTTTTTACTTTTCTAAACTTCTTTCTTATAGATTGTTAAGTTGACATTTATTCGTTTGATTTTTGTTCATAAATTAAATTCGTGACTGTTTTTAGATACCTAATTATCAAAGGTTATTCCAGTTTAAATAATTTTATCATCAATAATGATTATTAAAGGGTAATATATTTCAATTTAAATTAGATTATCAATTTAAAATTTACCTCCGTATTATTTATTCAAACTCACTTCCAGTTGGAGAATATTAGAGGAGATAATTGGATAAAAGATTACTAACAGAAAATTAGGTCCTTCTTTTACAATATTCTATATATCCGTACACATATTTTTTCTTGTTGATTATTCAGTTGACATCTATTCGTCTGAGTTTTGTTCATAAATTAAACTCGTGACTGTTTTTAGATATCTACCCAATTATTATCAAAGGTTCTTCCAATTTAAATAATTTTATCATCAATAATGATTATTAAAGGATAATATATTTCCATTCAAATTAAATTACCAATTTAAAATTTACATCCGTATTATTTAAACTCACCTCCAATTGGAGAATCCCAGAGGAGAAATTTGGGTAAAACATTACTAAGAGAAAATTAGGTCCTTCTTTTACAATCCATACACATATACACATCTACACATATCCGAACACCTATCTATATCTACATACCTATATCTCCCTATATATCTATGAATCCATATATACACATGCACACACATCTACACAGAAACTATATGTATATTCCCATATCTACACATATACACCTATAGAGAAATAAATACACACATATCTACATGCATATCCATACATACACATATACCTACATATATACATACACACACATAAAGTTATATGTGTATCTGTATATATATACACATATCCACATACACACATAAATGCCCATATATGTACATCCATACATATGCACATATACACGTACGCACATATACATATACACATACACACACATATATATATATATACACACACACACATACATCTATACATATATATATACACGCATACATATGTATATATCTATATATACATACACATGTCCGCACATAGACCCACTTATGCCTGCATTCAAAGATCATATCAATATCAATATGTAATTACATTATGAATACACAAGATCGTATAATTATACATATCTGTACACATATATTACCCGCTATCCCATATCTATGGCAAGACATATAAGTACCCATCTAGTTATACACATTCACACTCACAAAAAAAAAATAAAGAAAAAAAAACAAAACAAAAAAATAAAACCTTGTATGACTCTCTTTCCATATAAAAGCATATATATGTACGTATCAAAAAGTGTATCAGTGTTCAAGTACAATACCATAGTTATATATATACAGTCATGTGTTCGCGCTCATGCATGCATAGTAACATTTCCAACAGCAAAAAGACCAAAGGTCAGTCAATATTATTCTTCCTATATAGTTATTTTTCAGTGTATTTACTTAGGTTTAGGTTATTCTTGTGTCTGCATTTAAAGACTAGTTCATTGTGTCTATTCAGTAATAAGTCTGGATCTTTATGTTTGATTATGAGGATTTTCTCCTTCATGTATAAGTCGCATCTGTCTCTGAAATTTTTTGGAGTTCTGGCTCTTGATATTATTTTCCACTTTATTTGTGGGGTTAGGCCACCCTCCAACAAATCCCAATAATGTTTTGACAGTGCCGTTTGGTTCTTTTTACATTCATTTTTGAAGGATTGGCGATGGTTGTACAGTCGGTGTTTCCAATTTCCCGCCGATATTCCTATGTATATCTTTCTCTCCTCAACCTTCTCTTTGGGGAAAATCGTTGCTTCATATATTGTGTGGGGTTAAGGATAAGGAATTGAAATGGTACATCTAACTCACTCATATCTTCTCTCCCACCTCACTTCCTCACTTCGTTAATTTTACATATGCTTGGTGCGGTCCGTCAAAAATGTGTAAGTTTCTTTTCATTTTTCATTTCAACTTTTGGAAGTAAAGTCTGATGATCCAGAGCCCTTTAAAAGGGTTGTGGTGAAATAACTTATTACATGGAACTTTAAAGTGGTCTGTTTTTATTCAAACATATTTGCTCTGAAGTTACATTGAGCTCTCTGGATATCATCCTCCTTGGGTCTACCCATACGGATTACCTAGTTTTGCATAAACTATATATATATATATATATATATATATATATATATATATATATACACGAAAGAATGATATCGTTTATCCTTGTCTAAAAATTTGTTCCATTTGTGTACGGAGTTCGAAAAGCGAGAATAACTTTAAAGTTCAGTACAGTCCTTTGTGAACTTTAGTCCATGTTATACAATTAGAGTAAAATTCAGGACCCAATTTTTATACGCTACTTCATGGATGGATTGATGGATGGAGAAAGAGAGAGAGAGAGAGAGAGAGAGAGAGAGAGAGAGAATTTCTGTTGGAAGCACGCAGCCTAAAGTTGGGATTTATGAAGTGATCCTCTTAAGAAACTGCAAAAATTATTTGTAGCATTTTAAAGAAAACTCATTTAAAGCACACATTAAATCAACAAGAATAGGGATACTTCTACTCAATCTATTGTATTCAGCACCTCGAGGGTTACCGATGTCGTGATCAAACAACATGTTTTTTAAATTCGATAAAAAGAAAGTGTCGTACATATTGCATAGCCAACTAAGTACCCGTGAGCCAAATTTGAAAATTTTTGATGTGAATTTCAGTTCTTTTCTCAAATCCACGTCAACGGCAAATCCACATCAACGGCGAAATGCGTTGTGTTATCGACAAGATACGAGACAATAAACTATCCGTCTCATAATGTTTATCTATTAAAATTTTGTTTCATTTCATGGTAAACAAATTCATATTGCACCATACACTATATGACACTATATAAAACAATATTTTGTCTATTACAGAAAGGAGAGATTTGAATTCTCCGTCACCTGGTGATGATGACAATGGTCATAAAAGTAAGAAACCGCGCAAGGCCCGAACGGCTTTCACGGACCACCAACTTCATTGTTTGGAGAAGTCATTTGAACGGCAAAAGTATCTTAGCGTCCAAGACCGAATGGAATTGGCAGCAAAGCTCAATCTCACAGACACACAAGTGAAAACCTGGTACCAAAATAGGCGGTAAGTAAAATCTTACAGATTTTTATTCAGAAATCTCGCCCTCAAAAAACAGAAAAAAAAATCGAACACATACAACGACAACCAACATGATATAAGGCAATTTTCTATTGTTTTTACGTTTATATTTATGTTTTCAAAGTTCCGGAAGTTTTCCGAAAGTTTTAGGATGTATTGTTGTTACTATTCCATGAATGTTTTAGACTATCTTCATTTTAGTGTTTACCTCTAAGACTTTGAGATGAGGTGTTAACAGTCAATGAATATTTTGAACTACCCTAATCTTCATTTTTGTTCCTTTCATCTGAGACTTTTAGATCAGATATTAATGTTTCGTTTGAAATTTTGAGATCAATTAATATTCAATGTACATTTTGTACTATCTTCATATTCTTTTTTTATTTCTTAAAATTTTAAGATCAGGTTTGAGATTAAATTAATATTTTGGAATATTCTCATTTTCATTATTGTTTTCATCTCTGACAGTGAGAGGAATTGCTACTAATATTCATTGAATATTTTGGAAGGATGAAACTGATACGTCTGCTTTTTTTTTTTTATAGATAAACATGCTTGAACTTGAACATTTCCAATACTTACATTTCCTTGGCCCTGAAATTCAACTGTCGGAAACACTCATTATTGGAAACATTATGTGATTAAATGTTAGGTTGATTCGTTTTCTACGGCTTATCAACCCTTTTGCAGATTATTTAAAATCAGAAAATATTTTTAGATTGGAAGAATATTTTTATTGCAGGTAATAATGGTTTAGTGATACAGATCTTACTAATTAAGCTGGGGGAAAGAAAGTGAATTCATACCTGTGCCAATGGCGTTTACGTGTAAGTGAATATAACGGATCCAACGGGAGTTGGAACTCGGCTCTTCGATTAACAATTCCGAGCCATTATCCATTACACCACACGCATATTGAAGCTTACACACTTGGTATTCCCAAGCAATCACCCATCTAGGTACTAGCCAGGCTCGATGTTGCTTAACTTTAGTGATCGTATGCGAAGCAGTATTTGTGATTAGACCGTAAACCTGTGATTAAATAAAAACACGCATCATGTGACCAACTAAGTACACATTCAAACCAAATTGATTTGTAAGAATGGATCCCTAACCATTGTCTTAAGGCAGGTGCATAAATATTTATAGACTTTTACAAAGTTTGATAGAAGATCACAAGCACACAGTCAAGTTCAAATGTTAAATGAGACACTGAAGTTCATAGGAGCTTTAATTTCGAATGTGGGCTTTTTAATGGAGCCTCCCCTCCACATTTAAAACCACTATAACATAATTATCCCCTCAAAACCGCCACTCTATGGTAGAGATATTTAATGACTGTTTTAATTTAATTACTAAGCATCATATAGTCTAAAGTTAAAGTACTGTATGCATTTATATATATATATATATATATATATATATATATATATATATATATATATATATATAAATATTTATATATATATACTGTATATATACTTTATATATATATATATATATATATTTGTGTATATATATATATACATTGTGTATATATATATATATATATATATATATATATATATATATAAATATAAAAGTGAACATTGAAGTCCACACTCAGAGGCTTCAAGCTGTTTCATGCTAGACGAAATCGTCAGGCTGCAAATGTTGGATTTTCCCCCGACTATTTATATATATGGGTCAGTGGTGCATTGTGGGTAATCCATTCTGGCCGTTATTTTTTGGGAGTGGCTCGTTTATTTATTTATTTTTTTGGGTTAATTTATTTTACTTGTTTTTTATTTTCATTTTGTATTATTTATCCTTTTCTGTTTTTGATGTTTTATTAATGTTATTATTGTTTTTGATGTTTTATTAAGGTTATTATTATTAATTTTTTGTGGGGGGATTTGCTTAGGTAGCTTATTTAATAGTTTGTTTTGGACTGTTTATTCGTCCAATGTTTACATTGCTTGCCGTAGTCTATTCTGTTACTTTGGCTGGGGACAGATTTTAATTTATTTGTTTAGTCATTATCATAATGGATATGTAAGAAATATTTTATTAACAACGAATATTAAGTTGCATGTTTTTAAATATTAACTTATTGATTACTTCTCGTTTTCAACGGAATTTTGTTTATTGTATTGAATAAGAAAGGATGCAATTGTAAATGTAAATTTGTGCTATTTGTAGTAAACGTTATTGAAGTGTTTTGAACGACCCAGAAATGTTACTTTGGTGATATGTGAACAGATAATCTAAATTTGAAATTGTCATATAAATGTTACTTTTATACATAATATTTTGCAGATTGTATAAATAAAACATCTAAATAATAATAATATCAATCAATCTTTTTGATTGAATACCAACAAGCATAATAGCAATTTCTTAGATGTAGCATGATCATTATTCCTAACTTTTGATTTTTTCTCTCGTTTGAGTTTTGTTGCTTTTCAACAGATTACTCGGGTTAATTTTTACTTTCCATCACTTTTGAGTAAGCAGCATAAATAGGACAAGTTAGGACTTTTATATTTGCTAAGAAGAGGTGGAAATAAGCAACATAGCGTGCAATAAATCGCACAAAGTAAGGTGTAGAATGCTGTAGAATATTTGAGTAGGTACATAATTTCTTTGATGAAACATTGTCATTGTTAGTGTTTTTACTAGATTTTCTTTCAATTTATGTTTATTACTTGTTTAATTTACTAGTGATATAAGATGTAATAGTCTTAAATTATCCACATTTTCTGATGAAACTTTGTTGCCATGATTAATATTTGACTAGTTCATTTTCACTGGTTAAGTACGATATTTTCCCAAGATGTACTTTCGACAAAAATTTGAAAATAGGTAGTGTGTGTATCGACTAAGAGTGTGGTGATAAAAAGTACATAAAGACTGTAGTAAGATATTAATTTTCAAAATCCTTCAGCTAAAAATTTACAGTAAAAAATAAGAGTTAGTAAAACAAATATGGCGTTAAAAATCGGGAAAGAAGTGTTAAAATGACTACAGATTAGGCTTTGATTAATCATTGAAACTTCCATGTCCAAGGTACGTGGAAGTTGAGAAAAAGTTTTCAGTTCAGAACTCTTCCCAAATCTAACCAAACATCAATGTTGTTTTTGGAAAGGCTTGTTGATCATGCTGCGAAATGTTCAGTACTCATTTTCAGCTAAGTCAATGTTGATGAAAGAAAAGCTCCCAAGGTGTAGGATGCAAGTTCAAATCTTGCCTTAAGCAATTTCTTTATTACCTATTTCTTGTTCCGCAGTCGAAGACATTAACGGCTCTGAATGTTGTAATCTAAATCAATAAATCCGTATCCTAATGATGAAAAGGCATTTATTTTATAGAAAACATATTTATTTTTTAACATAATCTCTTAAATGTCAATGCACTAAGTCCAAGTCTTCCGTATTGCATTCTTTTTTCTTAAATGCTAAATTCCTTAAGGATGTAACTAATTATGATTCTCCACAGCTTCTTTCAATAGACACGAACAGCCAGAACATCTTGGGTAAGATAATGGAGTGGTTTCTTGTTACCATTTCCCTGTATCAGAGTTATCTCTGACCGCTAAACAAGTCTGGAGAGTCGATTCTGCTCAACAATTTTACTGTGAGAGCGGAGAAATGAATTCATGCCTTTCCTAAAGACATATCCGTCATTATCTTCTGTTTTCTTAATTCCTGTTGTTTTATTGCTCTTTTATTTTTTATCATATTTTCTCACATTCAGTAACCCCTTGCATCTTAGTAGCTTTATTGCCTTGCTAGAGTATGAAATGATACAAAATACATTAGTGCGAAAGGGAATGCAGCATAGAACAGAATTTGAATTCGACTCGTCAATTCCCTTTCACGAGTCGATGTGAACGCAACCTATACATCCTATGACTCGTGCAAATAAAAAATTATGGAGTGAAAGTTTCAGATGAGAATTTTGCTCATAACTGTGTTAAACCTATTGTTACACTTTTATAGAAGAAGATATAACCGATAAAATAGTTTTGTACACTTGGAAACTAAAACAGTAGTTTATAATTGACACAATTCAATTCAAAACACGGTAGAAAGATTAGTAAGGATCGAAATCATGGCTTGCGTAACTTACACTACGAACACTTGTGTGTGTATATATGTGTTTTTATACATACGTGTCTTTGAATATTTTATTATTAGCGTCTTTACTGGGGGTTTAAGGTGCATCTGATAACGATATTCTCCATCGGATTGGGGATATATATATATATATATATATATATATATATATATATATATATATATATATATTAATTATTTTACACCAGGAAAGGCCGGAATGCACTGGTCCGCATTGGGTTACAGACAGTGAAGGTGAGAAAAAACCTAGGTATGGGGGAACTGAAGAAAGAATAAAATCTGAACAGTGTTCAAGAAGATAGAAGATGGAGATTAATGTTGCATTTAAATTTTTGAATGTAGTCATCAGGGAAACCGGGAGTTCCACAGGTGGGAAGTGCAAGAAAAGAAACAGTTGCAGTAGAAGTGGTGGTTACATTTAACTAATTCAACAATAAAAGGTGGGATCTAAATGCCAATCTAGTAGCCGACTTAAACTTACGTTGTCGGGGCACCAGGGAAAAAAGCCCGTCAGAGCAGTTGCCATGAAAATATTTGTAGAAAAGACAGTGGGACATCACATCACGTCTTTAAGAAAGTGATTGAAGTTAGGATCGATTACATTGCAGATACTTTTGTCAAGAACCTCAAGATCAAGCACCAGATCAGATATGGCAACAGTATTCAATACACGGATGAATGGTAGATTTGTAAATGTGCAAGAAGGATTCTGACGAGAAAAAGCTTCTAGCATGGCGCAATGCCCTTAGCTTTATTGCAGTAAATGTAGCTATTGATTCGGTGCAGTCATTTCACTTCAAGTCTCTTGAAAACGTGAGTCCAAGAAGGTAAAGTGTGTTGCTCTCCATGAGTCTAACATCAGCCATGCTGATGGCGGACAGGAAAGTTTGTCTGTGATGTTTAAATGAGAGCGGTTTCATTTTGGAGGCATTAAAATTTACGAGCCATTTCCTACCACAGTTAGAGATTGAAGGTCCTTTTCAAGAGCAGCAGCTATGTTAACTTTGTCTGCTCTGACGGATTTGCTATTGAGACAGGAGTAAATGGTAGAGTCATTAGCATAAATGCTTACGTGATAACTGAGGGCATCAGGAAAACTATTGATGAAAATCAGAAACAGCGTAGGACCCAAGATCGCGTTCGTTTGAAAGGATCTGGAAGCGAGCCCGTTCAAAACCACCATCATTCCACGATTTGATAGGAATGATTGATTAAATCAATCGTCCAGTAATACCGTAGTCCTGGAGCTTACGGAGAAGACCAGCGTGCCAAATTCTGTCAAAAGCCATCCAGATATCTATAGTCGTAGCAGTAGACTTGGCAAAACAGAAGTCATATTTGTCAGATAGATCGTGAGAAGTAAAATGCTTAACCACATTAGCATTGATTAAAGAAAAAATTCTTTGCTGAAACGCGGTAGGTGACTAAAAGTGCGATAGTTAGAGGAGTCAGAAGGTTCTCGAGAATTCTTAAGAACAGGAAATACAGAGGAGGACTTCCAACAAGCTGGAAAGCAAGAATCAGCGAGTTTGTTGCAGAGTTTGAAGAGAAGTGGAACCAGCTCGGGAGCACATTTCTTTAGGACACTGGCTGAAATCCCGCTAACTCCGCTTGGCTTATCGGAGACTAATATATATATATATATATATATATATATATATAATCATCTTAAACTATATTTTTAGTGGATACTCGTATTTCACTAGGCGCTCCGTTTATATGTAATGTTCGAGAAATCTTATTAAAGATAAATATATAAATATGCTGAAGAGTACAAATTTTTCTTTAATAAGATTTCTTGAACATTCACGCTGGTAAACGAAAATGAATAAATATACTGTTTAATAAATAAACAGAGTGCCTACTCGAATACTAAAACCCACTAAAAATAATGTTT